CATCAGCCATTGCTATTCCATAATTTTTTGCTGGCACACTATAGGAGAGGTGGGTGGATGAGTGCTACTGTCCAAATGGGTGGGGCAAAAGCTGCTCTGTATTTCTTCTACAGTAGTGGAATGCTGATGCCTATGAAAAATATTTTCCCCCTTTGGGTTGTTCAATTAAGAAACTTTCAGTACAATATCGTGAACTATTTATGTTTAATATGTCAAATTTACTTAATAGTAACAAAATATTGTTTTAGATTCATGTTCCTGAGGTTTTATTTTATAACTTATCAAGGTTTTATTATCATTTAATGCATATTTTAATATTCATTTAACATAAATTAACATTTAATTACTAGAAATAAGTGGTGTATTTCTTTCTTGCCCATCTCTACCCCAAAGAAATCATTAGTGTAATTCCTAAAGGGGGGGTCACACTTAATTTGTGTGATTAAAATTTATAATTTTAAGGATCACAGTTTGAGAACCCCTACACTAAACTATCTCCAACAAGTAGCAATCATGACCCCATTTGAAAACCTCTGACAAGGAGAAGCTCGCCACTCATCTAGGCAGACAGTTCCATTGCCCAATAGTTCTTACTGTTAGAAATTCTCCTAAAATTCAACCCAAATCTCCTTTCTTTTAATGTTAATCTGTTGGTCCTTGTCAACAGACAACAGATCTACACTTTTTATTGTACATCTCAGCCTTTTAGATATTTGTAGCTGTCGATTACCATATGACCTTTGATTTTTCTCTTTTGCATAATTAAAATGTGAGTCAATGACTAAGGCCTAGCAACGTGTGTGTGTGTGTGTGTATGTGTGTGTGTGTGTGTGTGTGTGTGTGTGAGACAGAGACAGAGACAGAGACAGAGAGAGAATATGTGGGAGTAGGTGAGACTGTAGTACTGTATGTGTGTAGGGTGATGGTAATTTAGTCCCAGTGTGTGCTGGATGAGTCAGTGACTGAAGCCCAGCACATCCATTATCATGGGCCACATTTGCATGATGGATGCTTTGTGGCAATAGCCTAGAGGGTAGAGTAAAGAGTAAATCTCAGTAACCCTCCATTAGTAGGGCTTGAAAGTTTTGTAAGGGAAGGTTGAGGAAGATGAGTTGCTCCACCCAGGGCAGCATCCAGGTATGAGTAATGGGGTGTCATCTGCACTGCAGAACGATTTTTCTCTTGGGATGTTGGTTGGGGGGGAGGTAACAAGTGACAGTTCACTGATTCTGGAGCAGATTCATCTTATCTCCTTCCTCTGGCTTACAGGTACAGAATGCTTCTTTTATTACCTGAGCCAACAGATTATGCCTTTTGTCTCCTTGAGAAGGCACTAAGAACACCTCCCTAAGATATGGTCACTAAATATGAACTTACTAAGGAGAATCTACTCCTGAAACTGAGGCTCTGGCTGATACTACTGTGCTCAATAGTCCAATCTCCACTCCTGGCTGTGGCTGTACTTTTGCTGGGCCATTTCTGCAACCAGGTGGTCTTCTCACCTTTGGAGATTGCTAATGTCACACCCTTAGTCATACAGGTTATGCCAGTTCATTGACTAGCGTATCATCCAAAAGATTCATATAGGATGTCACTGTCATTTGCCTTACTCTCACTTCCATTTTTCTTAGAACTTGCTTGGTTCCTTTTCTAGGAAAAGTGAGTGGGCAAAACTCATTTTCAGATTTCTTCCAAAAAACTCACCATCCATGGCTTTTACCTTTCTGAAACAATAAAATACCTATTTAACTGTTATTGGCAGGGAGTTGATTTTTTTGGCTTTGTGATAGGGATTTATTGATTAAGCATCTCCTGTATTTGAAAGAAGCAGCTATTTAGTTGTTGCTACATATGTAGTAATTCAGCATGAGAATCACCACAACTTGGAGTTCCTGTTCTTTGAGTAGTTGCATAGTAATGACTGCCTCTCAGTCTAGATCTGATTTGCATTTTTTCCTCTCTTGTTACGGTTGGAGCTTTTGCCTTTTTATGGTGCATGTGCCAAAAGGTTAAAGTTTTGAGGTGTTAGAACAATGCTCATTTTAGACACGGCAGAAATACACATTAGGCAGGCACAGTGCTTTTAGTCAGCTGTCAGTAAATGATTTCTACTTTTGATGTAATATTAAACATGCTGGATGCTCTTACTTCTGGGTGTAACAGTTTCAAGAGTGCTTGCTTGCTAACTTGTTTCATCACCGCAGCCTGTTCCGTTAGCTGTAGGCCTTTGGGTGGGTAGCTTGTTTCCTGTATTGAAAACCACAAGGGGAGGGAGAGAATGTCTTAGTCAGATATGAAATGCTGGGACAAGGGAGGCTGAATTGTTTCACCCAAATGAGAAGTATGTATGAGAAGAGTTGCATTTTGCTCAAATAGAATTTTAAGCTTGATGCTGCAAAACAAAGTAAAAACGAGCAATTTAGACAGCAGTGTATAGAAACATGAAAGATCTAACTTAGCATTCACTGATCAGCTCGCTTGATTTCTTGTTCCTTTACAGAGAGATCTGTGGTGAGAAGGTAAATTGCTGTTATGACTGCCAGCTGCCAAATGCTGGTTCCTTTCTCCTCAGTCCCATAATTGTGTATCCTGAACTTACAGCTAAACTGATAGAAAACAAAACTCCTGAGTTTTCAAGTGTGTAAGCTGAAAAACAGATACTAAAATCAAAGAGCCTGAAGAATACAATTACACATAACGGAATTCAAGAAAGTGAGGATTAGATAGAATATAGAAAGAAAAGATGAATTGTAGATCATTTATAACTTTGTAGAATCTAAATACGGTTGTCTTAAACCACGGGCAAGTGATTTTTTACTGACTGGAGCCACACTTAACATTTTTAAAGGCCCACTGGTCATAGAAGGGGAGCAGTTACACCAAGCAAAAACAGCCAAGTTACATGTAGGTTGTTGCACTTCTTCCTGAGTTTGAGAGGGGGATCTTTGAGAAAACCCAGAAGGAGGATATAGAAAAAGAGGCAGTGGCTAACATAGCAAGCAGGAAAAGAGGAGCAAAGGTTAGGGGATATAGAAGAACCAAAAGACTTTTATAGTCCAGATTGGCTATCCTTCTAGGTCACACACCACACAAGGACTCCACTTTTTTGCACTTCTGCTTTAAGGAGATTAGCCTAGCCTTTACTCATTCTGTGTTTATAACTTTGTTTTTTGAATAAAGAGTGATCATTTGCATTTTTCTTTCTGCCTGCTGTAACATGGGCTGCTTGTAGGGATCATCATGTAATAGTGGATTCCCATGTTGGGCAATGGCTTGGACTAGGTGATCCCCATGGTACCTTTTAATCCTTACATTCTACGATTCTGTGACTTGTGTTCAGTGTAAGGATATGAACTGAATGGTGCTCACAACTCTGCTTGTGATCCTGATAAGGCATTGTTCTGTATGGCAGGTGTGTTCAGTCAGACAAACTTATCGTTTATAGCTGCCTTGCCAATCTAATGTATGCATTAGATCTCTGTAAGCAGCTACCTTACAGCTACCTTTCAGATCTGTGCAAAGATTGGTGTCAGTAGCAGTGACATTGGAACTGCAGTTTGCATGCCTGAGTGTGGTCTCCATCTGCCCCATGCCCATTTTAGCTCTACTTATATACAATATGCATCCCATTATCTTAGTGTATATGTTAATGCCTGCATTCTGGAAGGCTGTGGCCTAGTCTGATTGTAGAGATTACTGGGTTGAATGAATATAAAATATTAAAACATCTCTTGTTTTGAAGGAAAAGTTATTATCTCCCCAGCTTCAATAACTAATTTCTAAGTAAGTTTTTAAGGTACAGGTGACGGAAAATATAAAGTTCCTCATTTGTATTGGCATGACCACCCAAAGGTTGTCCATATGTGACTTATGAAAAAGTTTGTGGTTTAAAAGCAGCCTCTCAAAACATTGTCTAAAACAGACATTCTGACAATTCATACTTAGCTTTTTATTTTGCTTTTCAGGATATCTGCCTTTACAAGGCAACTTGTAATTAAGTTCTTTAGGTGCTATTCTGGTGATATCTAGATTTGCTAGAATATAAACACACAAGTGATGCCACATTGGAGGCTTGTTTAAAACCTTGCAGGATTGAAAAACAAGTTTTTCATGTTTGATCAGCTGCTAATTGGAAATAAGTTTTCTATGTTCCCTCTGAGTAAAAAAATGGTGGGATTGTGGAGATGACATCTTAGCTAGAGCAAAGGGGATATTTGAGGGTCTACCAGGGATGGTGAGTCGAATTGGAAAACTCCATGGGCCAAAAGTTCCCCATGTTACATAGGATCACTAGTCCCATTGAGGGGATATTTCTCAGTGATAGCACATCAGATTCCTATATTTCAAACCCTACATTCAGTGGAAGAATTTTCCTCTGAATTGCAACAGGGGAGGAAAGAATTATATTTTACCTCTTTCCTTTGAGAGGGTCTGCCCATTTGCTGATGCTTTTTGCATTATTGAAACTTACAGCTTAAATGCAAAAATGCAGAATGCAAGTGGAGATTCTGTCAATTAAACAGTTCCCTTTCCAATGATTTTCCACCCAGTATCCTCTGTTTTTTTCTTTTATTCCTCACATACAGTTTGGAACTGTTCCCCAGAAAACTGCCATTCTAAAGGTGGTTTCGAATATCTTGGTTAGTGTATTTACAGCCAGCTTTGATTCCTATACACATAGAATACTATCTGAAATATGGTTTCACATAAAGCTTGCCAGTACATTTCAAGCTCTTTTTAGATTGTAAACTGATGTAAAGTATTTTCAGAATTGGATGAAATACTCAGGGGACTTAAGGACTGCTGTTAAATAAGATCTAAAGAACATTTAGAAAGTTTAATTGTATTTTGTATAGCTAAGAAGAAAATATTTGTGGACATTAAAGTAATTAATATCCACTTAATGTGTATTCACATGTTTCTTTTTTGCTACTGAATTTTTCTTAACATACTGATTCGTTTTTTCTATCTTTTCCTCTTTTTTTCCCCTCCAATTGTAGAATTTGAAGCGTGTAATGGCAGATGAGGTAAGAGTGATAATATTTATTTTTGGTATTAACTGTTTTTGTTAGTTATCACTGAATCCTAAAATAGTTTCTGTGTACTCTCTTTTGTGGATCTTTATTACTAGCTTTATGACTACACTATCTTTTCTCTTTTATTAAGTGTTTGCCTTGATAGAGTATGTTAACCAGTTTTCAAGATTGTATAGTATCCTTGTCTATGTTATTCCCTCATGCTACTCTTTTTTGCAAGGAATTTGTGTATGCATTTAATGATATCTTTTGCAGAAGCTGAGTCACTGACTCTGGCTTCCAGTTTGTTCAGTGGATAAAACTGCGTTCTGCACCAACAGATTGAAAGGGGAGTGTAACTCTCAACCTCTCAGAGCTGTTTATTTTCACAGACTATGCTATCCTCCTTGGTTGTTTTTCTAGAATGGGTCTGGAAGATAGCATATAATGTTACATGGTTTATTTCTGTAGTTCCCTTCTTTATAAAAAACTGTGAAATATTCCTGTGCATAGTAGGCATTGGGATGATAGGCAGCCACAAGATATTTATTTATTTATTTGTTTGTTTGTTTATTTATTTATTTGTTAATTTTTTTAAGCCGCCCATCTCCCCCCAATGGGGGAACTCTGGGTGACTCACAACAAACATTAAAAACATAAATATATATACATTCATAAAACATCAGTTAAAAAATTACTAAAAAGGGGAAGGAGAGTCCAAGAAGATGAAAAATCTGATTGGGATGATAGGCAGCCACAAGATATTTATTTATTTATTTGTTTGTTTGTTTATTTATTTATTTGTTAATTTTTTTAAGCCGCCCATCTCCCCCCAATGGGGGAACTCTGGGTGACTCACAACAAACATTAAAAACATAAATATATATACATTCATAAAACATCAGTTAAAAAATTATTAAAAAGGGGAAGGAGAGTACAAGAAGATGAAAAATCTGAGGCTGAAGACAGAAGGCCTCGGTGGGGCTAGGCATCCCCATGCT